TTATATAACCCACGTACGCTACATGCAATAAAGATGTTGATAATGACAATTCCTGTGGTATTTTGAGACGCTTGCAACGTGCCTGGCAGAGTTCGTGACTTTCCCATTGAGTAAGAGAGAGAGAGTTGGATTGTATGGCTGGGAGAAAAAGTACACTTGGGTCCGTAGAGTCATGTACTGTATAAAAATGTATTAATGGGCCAGAGATGTATTTGACTTGTTTCGACTATATCCTTCATCAGAGAAAAAAAGAAAAAGAAAAAAAAAGTCGGAGAAATGTACAAGGTCAAACCGCGTCAGATACATCTCCTGTGTTGTGAAGATATTCATACTGATTCCTAACTACATTTCTCGCAATAATGCATGTTGAAAATATATGAACCGTGGAATGGGAATTATGCTGTATTTGTGGTGAAGGGATTGCAATGTAGTTCATGACATTTTTGCTTTTAGTTTGTTCATATATTTGGCTTTATTGCTACCATACGTATCTTCTGACATAACGAATAAATTATATAATTCATATTCTCTCCTATAATTTGTCGTTATATTGCTCTGAAGCCCCAATATATAGTATTAGTAAACTATAATATGTTAGTATTAGTAAACTTGGATATCATTTTAATTATGCAACAGATATCCGTCACATATTAATTAGATATTCTCTGTGACAAATTCCCTTCAGTAAGTTATTATTAGGGGACATTTAACATAACTAGCCGCGAGCTTCACCAAGGGAAATGAAAATCAAAATTCTATAACAGCAGCTGTATATAATATTTTCGTAGCATCCCGAAACCCCTAACACTTCGATACACTGATATTGTATCATGACAGCTACTAAACACGATATCAGCGAAGTTTATACTGACACACAAAGTTTTGAGAAAAGGAGTTATATTTTCTTAATTTCACTAAAAATACAACAGAAAACCATTAGAGTACTTAATATGCTGGAATGATCTTTAATGACAAACAAAACATTGCGGAAGCTTCATATAAAATGGTAAAAGCACCTGATTACTCTGCAAATTATATTGTTTATATACACCACTCTCCTCTTTCAAATGTATTTCTTATTACATATATTTTATTTCTTGTTACATATTGTTCTTCTTAAGAAAAGTAGAAGTTGCATGAGACTTT